AAAACACAACACTAAAGCTCAAAGTGTGTGTGAGATTAAGCTTATGGTTCCTTCATCCTCTCATATGTTTGCTTTGCAGCCCCCATGAAATATTTGCCCTGTGGTTTACAGTGAATAAATTTCTATACAAATCCCTCACTCTTGCCCTTTCTCCTTGTGCCTCTTCTCATCTTGCAGCACCTCCAGAGCAGCAAACAGTCCCAGAAGGGAGGGCTAGAAAATATTCTGAATTCTTGGACATTCTCTTGCATGTTCTTTGTACTGTTTAGCTTCAGAATAAAGTAAAAACCAAGTGGGAGGATTTGATTTGGGGTTAGCAAGCGCTATCTTGAGAGACTGCAGGGCAGTGATGAAGGTTTGTTTCTTTGCAGGAAGAAGATAAAAAATAAAGGAGCGTATTAGAAATTACAGGTAGAGCTGCTGTGTGATCCTTGAGGAAGGGTGAGCATCTGGGAATAAAAGGGGAAACAATGTGGGCATAAAGGGGAGAAACATGCCATGGCTTGTGATGAACAAAATGTACTTTTCTTTTTATTTCAGTGAGAAAACAAAATAGGAGGGCCTGCTGTGACTGCAAATCTGTGTTATTTCATTTTACCTTCTTGAAAGGTTAGAGGATAGGTGGATATGGGCACACACATGAGCCCTTCCTCTATATGTGAATGAATTTTACTTATCATATGTGATTTTTTTGTCTGAAAGCCCCTTGCAGGTGTTTATCTCTGCTGGCAGGAATTCCTGCTTTATTTAGTTACAGTGTTGGTGCTTCCACAGCCCTGTCTCTGTGGGGCATGTGAACTGCACCAGACACACACCAAGGCCACTTGTCCTGCTGCTCACAAAACTTCATGCTTTATTTCAGGAGAGAACATGGTTTCCATGATGACAACTCTGTGGCAAGTAATTATTCCCATGATTGTCCTGTCCCACTTCTCAGCATCTCTGCCATCCTGGGAGAGGTAAGCCTTTCTTGGGACTCTGCTTTCTTTTTCTCATGGTTTTTGTTCAAAGAGCCTGCTAGCTGAAAACCCAGCCTTTTAGCTGCCTTCTTGAACTTGCTTCTGCTTGCTTGTGGATCTTCTTCTTCCTCCCTAAACAGATTTAGTTAAATGAGTGCAAATACTGTAAATGTTTTTCTTGCATAAGGATGGGAAAGTTAATTTTATTTAATTAAAAAATTTGTGAAAGAAAAGAAGAAGAAGAAAATTTGTGACCCCAAAACAAAACACAGTTACAAGGACACTTTTGAGTCTGTTTTTCTCCTGTGCACTTACATAGCCTGATAAAGGTGAGATTTTCTGTTTCCAACAGCCTGGTCCCATGAAAACATAACCAGAAATAGCCAACCCTGTAAATTCACCAAGCTCACCAAGGGAGTCACCTGCAAGGGCTGGTCTTTGTTGCTCTTTCCTAAGTGCTCTTGAGCTTTGTGTCTCTGGGTATTTGTTTATTACTTCTTCAGCCTCTTGTCCCACTCTTTTGTGCTGAATCATCAATAACACCACATTCCCACATCCTTGTGGCAAGGTGATTACATCAGTAAAAGCAAGAACAGGTTGTTTTCCTGTGTGATGTTTAACAAAGTTATTTTTAAAACTCCCTTTTTTCCCCCTTTTTTTGTGAAACTTTGCGAAAGTGGTACGAATTCTTGCCCATGTGTGTTTGGGAGTCTCTTGCCTTGAGGCTGCAGTGTTTAATGCCTGTTCTTGCCTGTTCTTGTGTGTTTTTAAACCATTTTAAACCTTTTGACCCCCCTTTTCCCTGTTCCAACCCACAGGGTGGAACGCCACGCAGACGGGCTCTTCCACAGCGAGCTCAGCAAGATGAACGGCAATGCCTACGTGCAGCAGCTGGTCAAGCACCTGGTGGGCCTCAAGGACAGGTGAGCACCAGCCACAGCCACCCTCCTGGGGCAGGGAAGTCTCCAGCAGGATATGGGATCCCTGCCCTGAGGGGCTGCTCATGGAGCTGAGCTGTCCAGCGGCAGAGCCAGCCAGCCCTGGCTGCCCAGGATGAAGAGGGGAAGGGGAGGAGTACAGGGCCCTGTAGTGGTGGGAGGAGGGCTGTGCCTCATGGAGAGTCCCACGTGGCTGGGAGGTGCAGCTGCTGTCCCATGTTGTCCCCACACAGGTCCCTGAGGCACTCGGATGGGCTGTTCACCAGTGAGTACAGCAAGATGAGAGGCAACGCCCAGGTTCAGAAATTCATCCAAAACCTCATGGGCCGCAAGCGCAGGTGAGAGGGAACCTCGGGTGTCCCAGGCCCCACCCAGGCTCTCACTGCCACACTGGGCCAGCAGCCCCCACTGAGGCCATGTCTGTGAGCACAGCAGCAGACACAACACAAGCTGCAAGTGCTGCTCTGCAGTGGTGGTGTTACATAATTGGTGGTTTGGGGTTTTTAATTATTACTAATTTTCTTTATCTAAACCAGCTCTCCTGGCCCAGTCAACACAGACATGCAGGGGAGAGAGGGCGTAAACAAACCTGAGGAACTTTGCTTTCTCTGGTTGTACCAGAGCTTTCTGAACACCAGGTAGGTGGGAGGGATTGGTCACCTCTGTGACTCTGAGCCCCACAATACTGAAGCCAAAAGAAGGCTTTTATGAACAGCCATAGAAAAAGTCAGTTGTCAAAATAGTAAAACCCAGGGAAGCAAAATAATATCTTTTCCTAAGAGTTGTCATTCTGGTTTGAAGCAATTATTAATCTCATTAGGAAATGTGACCTAATGGTTAAAATTGAAATAAAGCCTTTGCTTTGCTACCCTGTCTGGATTCAGCTGCTGGCTGGAGCACACACCTCAGGATGGGTTGTCCCAGCACCTGGACATTGTCTTTTCCTAATGCCCAACATCTTTCCTTTAGACATCTCACTCTTAAACCACTGTAATTAGGAGGAATAAACTGGCCCTTAGTACCTCTTGTGCCACAATGGGGGAGAAACACCACTGTGCATTTGTAGAGTGCCTGGCAGCAGGCAGGCATGATCCCTCTATGGAGATCATGACCTGCTCTTTGGAGTCATCCTGGAATGTCACAAGGTGGCCTTGTCACACTTCCTGCCGTTCATGCTCCCAGAAATAATTTTTTTCTTTTTTTTCTTTTTCTTTTTTTTCTTTTTTTTGTCCCTGATTTTTCCCTTCCCACAGCCGCTCGGACAGAGATGCCAGGGAGGCTGCTGCCATTGCCAGCCAGTACATTTGTCCCTTCTCTAAGAAGCTGGTTGCAGACATGAAGGAAGATACAGATGGTTCTGAATGAAGGTTAAAAGAAAGAAACAGCTAAGGAGACAGCTTTGTACATGTATGGCCTTGAAAATAAACAGGGAAGCTCTTGCTTAGGAACGATTCTTGAGATAGGCAAATAAATAAAAATAATCCTGTAAAGCAGTCAAAAACCAATGAAACCTTTGAGATTATCCAAAGTGAAATGCATGTGGGTGTGTACTGCTGTCAGTAGATGGAGCCTGGGTGAAGCGCATCCCTTCCACTCTGTGTTGGCATCTGGCTGCCTGCTGCTGTTCCCAAATAAAAATGGTTAGCTGTGCCTGTGCCTTGGCTGCTCTTTGGGAAACTGGAATAAGGATGGTTCCATTACAAGGTCTTGGATTATTAGGAATGCAGGGGAGGAGCATTTTGCCAGGATTCCCCACATGAAGCATGATGGGACACATGGCTGGGACTGGGGAGTGCCTACAGTGCAGCTGTGCGCAGAGGTCAGAATCAGGGCTCCATGTAGCAGGAACAAAGCCAGATGTTAGGCCTTATGGCAAAGAAATGTTCTGAGAGCTACACAACAGAGATACTCACTGTAAAGGTTATTTCCTCTCCATTCTGCCCCTGGAGTTGATGGCCCAGTTTTGTCATGACCACTGAAGACAAAGCTCCACGAGGAATAATTTGTTCCCACCACTTAATGAAGTTCATGTACTGTCCCTCTGCCATACAGGCAGATTGCTCCCCTTTGATGGAACAGCCACACCAGCTTTCCTGTAAAACCAATGGATTTTGGAGAGCAGCTTTAAAATCGGGATCTTCAGCTGCAATCCTGTGCTGTGCAGCCCTGCCCAGTCCATCCTGCTCCAGCAGTTTTCAGCATCTGTGATGGACCTGACCCCTGCAAAAGGAGCTGTTCTGACTCAAATGCACACCTAAGCACCATTCCCTTACTGAGGATCTGAACAAGCCTTGGCAGTTGTTCATTTTAGTCCATAGGAAGTCTCTGCTAGGAAATATTCCCTTTGGAATACTTTTAGAAGGTGTTGACAGCCTGGATTTCAGTAAGCTGCTAATAACCACCTGGCTGAGGCACAGCATCTGAGAACTTCCTGAAATCAGAATGAATTTTAAAAGATCAGTGAGAGCAGAGGTCCCCTGAAAACTTCAGGAAGCTGCTGAGATTCAAATAGTTGAAGATCTCCTGGTGTGGAATGTCCTGGAAGGAGATTCTGGGAAGCATCTCTACAAGGAGCAGCCACCAGTAAAAGGAGATCTGTTTTCCCTACAAAGTTGCTGGGCATTCCCTGGACTGCAGGTGAGCCTTTGTTACTGCTGGGATCCACTTGCTCACCTTGTGGGATACAGATCCCACCTCTGGCACATCAGAAACCAAATTTTCCCCCTTTTCTGTGGGAGAGACTGGAGTAAAGAGGCAGTTTCCTAAGTACCAGCCCTTGTCCTGCATGCTCAGCTGGGCAAGGGCTTGGCTCTGTGTTCTGAACTGCTTCAAATATATCCTTGTTGCCACACAGAGTTTAGGATAGGAAAGATCCAGAGAAAAAAGAAGCAGCAAGGATTTATGTGTCATCGTGTTCCATGACTGGTAAATCCTTCAATAAGTCATCCAATGGGGCAAAGAGGCAAAGGTTGAGCCACAGCAATCCACAGCCAGCTGGTGTTTCTTGGTGCCATAAAGTGGCGAACGCAAACAAGGGCACAGGGCAGAACAGGGAGATCAGCTTAGCTGGAAAAAGGGATTTTTCACCAACTAGCAGCTCACCATGGCTATTCCTCACTGGCTTCTCATGTCTGCACTCTTCCTGCTGCCCCTCTTGGCACGGATTTTGGCACAGGAGCCAGGTAAGCTCTTTCACATTTCTTTGAGGAATGTCTCCCAAGGGAGGGGGTGGCCCTGTTACAGGTGGGAGGTTGCTATGCTCCAAGACCCCTTTGCTCTACAGCTTGTGACCACAGCTCTCACCCAGCTCCTTCACAATGTGAATCCTTGGGCAGTTTTGCATCTTATTTGTGTGTTTTTCCAGGATGTTCTGTCAGTAACAGCAACCCCAGTGTTCCTGAAAATAAGTGTCCTCTTGTGGTGGCTACCATCCACGTGCAGCCAGGTTTCACCCTAACAATTGATCCCAGTTACCCTGATGGCCAATTCTTCACCATTGAGGGTTCTGAGCTGCAGCTGACAAAGTGTGTGGACTATGAGGTAAGCCTTCACCTGGCAGGCTGTAAGAGTGGGATAGATAATGCTGGGATGCAATGAGTTTCAGTCTGGAGTCTTGGGCTTCCAGGGATTCTTAACCTGCTTCTAGAGGAAATAAGTTATTTCAGTTGTGTGAATTTGGGAGCCTGCAAACAAGATGGAGAGACACCATTTGAAAGGGCCTAGAATGACAGGATAAAGGGGACTGACTTTAAACTGCTAGAGGGCAGGGTTAGATGGAATACTGGGAAGAAATTCTTCCCTGTAAGGGGGCTGAGGACCTGGCACAGGTTTCCCAGAGAAGCTGTGGCTGTTCCATCCCTGGAAGTGTCCGAGACCAGGCTGGATGGGGCTAGGAGCAGCCTGGGGTAATGAAAGGTGTCCCTGCCCATGGAAGGGGTTGGAATGAGATGAGCTTTAAGTTCCTTTCCAACCCAAATCATTCTGGGATTCTATCATCTTGTGTGAAGCAGAAAGGCAGTATAAACGGTCATTGTGTTCACTTAGGTGGCTGCTACATTATTTTAGCTCCCTGGAGTGCTCTGTATACAGCCACAGGCATCCTTAAGTTCCCTTTCAATATAAGAACCCACTTTTACTTGAGTGAAGAGCAACAACCTGAGTTAACACCCTGCAGGTGCCACTGTACTTGCCGCATCGAATGTTTCTGATTTATTCAATTTTAAAAGAAATCTGTTTGAATTCACCTGAGGTGAGAGAGAATGGTAGATTAGCTCTGCCAACATCTTACAGAAATTGAAGGGAGTGTGCCTGGCAGATGGGGCTGCTTTGATATCATCATAAACAAGATCCCAGCATTAAGGAAAGAAAGGAGAAGTTAGATAAGACCTGAAAATAAGATAAAGCCCAGCAGCGTTTCTGATTCAGCAAAGCATGAATTTAGCCAGAGGTTGTACTCTTGGGCTGTTTCTACAGTGAGGGGATTTGTTTTTCATGCAGGAAGACCCCCTGCTGCTGCTGTCTCTGACCTGCCAGGACCCTGCTGGTCAGGTGAGTGCTCTCCCATGGCTGAGCCCTGGGACAAGGCACTGCAGGAAGCACCTGCTTCCCTCTGGTCTTCCTAATCCTCACACTGGGATGGGCAGATGTCCTTCTCTTTGTGGGCAGACACACTGTTCTCAGAGCCACAGAGAGCGCCAAGTGGGGAGAAGGGTGCAGCAAGCCCACAGTCCTGCCCAAGGATGTGGGCTGGCTGCAAACCCCAGCCCCATCTGGCCCCATCCTTACACCATCCCCTCTGGTCACTCTGCAAAGCAGGATCAGCCCCAACAGTCTATTTTTTGTCTTTGATTCTTTGATTTGCCCATTCTGCAGAGCGATTCCTTGCAAATCCTAGTCACCATTCTGAACGAGAACGACAACTCCCCCGTGTTTCCACAGCCAAACGTCACCAGGCAAATCCCAGAGGTAAGGGGTTTTGGGAAGGGAAGAGAGCACTGCTCGCTGAGTGCTGTGGGACTGAGGAAGGGCCAGCAGGGAGAGGACTTCAATCCATTTCACACAGACAATAACTACAACAATGTGGTTTTTTCAGGATGCAGAAGTGGACACAGTCATTGTAGCCCGTGAAGAAGTAACTGCTGCTGATGCTGACCTGGACACCATCTACTATGAACTCACCACTACAGTGCAGGTGAGCAGCTCTGGGGGCAAACAGTAGCTCTGAAGAGCCTCAGCTTTGAGGAGAAGGTCACTACATTTAACTCACTCAACCTTTACAAAACTCAGACATTGATTTGGTTAGCAGAACAGAGCCATCAATGTTGCAGGTATTGAATTCTCTTATGGCTCACACTTTTAATGCACTGTACAGATTAAACTTTCATCTAGGATGTTCAGAGCTGTAATGATTCAGGGAAGTCTTGTTGGCATGATCTGTAAACATATCAGGAGACCTTTGTACCTCAGGGAGCTCACAGTTGCACTGAGTCTGACGGGGAAAGCAGTCCTTGCCCTAGCTGCTAACAGCAGCACAGGAAATGCATTGTGCACACAGTTAAACCAATGCCGGCCTGGAGAGCAAGGGCTGGCTGTAAACTAAAATCAAGAGAAAATTCAAGAGAAAAACCAAATGTATGTTTGCATTTTTGAAAAGTGTTGTGGAGAGAGCAGACCATGCCTCTGTTACCTCTATATCCCCAGGGAATTTAAGTTTCTGTGAACAGAAACCACCAGTTTTTCAGCTCTGGGATCAGACTTTGCATTCACATTGGTGTAAATTCAGAGGGACTTAGAAATTCAGAGGCGTAAGATTAAAGGAGAACCAAAGCAAGTGCAGAAGGTTATAGAGTAAAATGCAACACATGATACTTCAACTCAGCTTTACAGTTTCTTTCAGTCCAGCTCTATTAGGCTAAGGCAGGTGATCCTGCCAGCTCTCAAAGAGCCATCTTTGACCTTTTTTGTGCATGGAAGTGAGATTGTTGGCTATTAGGGACCTAAAACCAAGGATTGTTGGCAACTTGCTAAATATAGGAAATAAATGAGGTGATAGATTTAATCCAGAAGCTGCTGAGCAGGTGGGCAATCAAAGCAGGTGTTCTGTGAGAGGAAATTCACAAGAACAAACCTTTCTGACAATCCAGGCAACTCCAGAGTGCAGTGCCAAAAATTAAGTAGATCAGACATTCCTACAGTGCCCCTCATCTAGGTCCCCAGGATTAAAGGTCCAGTTGGGATGACAAAGATAGCAATGAGCAGGATTTGGAATGTGTCTGTAATTGAGTCTGCTATAGGATTTTTCCTTTTCCCTTGCCAGAACACAGACGGTTATTTTGCCATAAGAGGAGTTAATAACCCGGAAATTTATTTACAAACAGCATTGGACTATGACAAATTTAATTCGACAACATTGCTCTTGTATGCGAGGGTAAGTGGCTTGGGAAGAGCAGAATGCCTTGTTTGCATGGTCCCTCTTACCTGAAGGAGGAGTCTGGATGGGACATCTCTGGGATAACAGCAGGGAGGGTGGAGACTGGAGGGGGGGTGCATTTGGAGCAGCCTTTCCCTTTCCATAGTTCCAGTGACAGACCTGCAGTCAACCCACTTTTGTCAGCAGAACAAGATAACCTACTCCTTTAGTTACTCTCACATAAATTTCTATTTAAACAGAATGGAGTGACAAAGGCTAAAGGGCCCCAGTCCACTGCTTTTGGCAGATGGGCCCTTGTTGTGGCAGTGAAACTTGTGTCTCACGAGTGTGCTTTGCCTTGGGGGCAGGACAGGCCCGTGACCAGCCCTGAGCCCAACGGAACCAACACGGCCACTGCAACAATAACCATCACCATCAAGCAGAGTGACACCCGGGCACCCTGGTTCCTGCCCTGCACCCAGCTCCACAACGACAGCAGCGTCTGCATCAGCAGCCCCTACTCTGGCAGGGTCAACATCTCCGAGATGTCGGTGAGCAGGAGGGCTCAGACAGTGCCCCTGGGCTCTTCCCAGAGGGAAGCACTGAACCATCTCCATGAACCTGTGGAGGTTCTGGAGATGGTTCAGTGGTCTCCAGTATAATGCAGATGATTCAGCAGGACAGGGAGCCTTCATCATCCCCCACCCCAAGCAGCACTGCTTGTCTCTGCTCCTACAGCAGAGGAGAGGCAAGAGCTGGAACACCAGCTCAAGGCTGTCTCACCTCCACCCTGTCACAGACACCTCCCAGCAATAAATCCCATTCTGTCCAGGCAGAGCCATGGGATCTGCTCTGGGCTGGGAGAGCTCCAGTTGCTGATCTGGTCCTTGTGGTGTGTGATTGTTTGCCTTGCTGTTGCAGACAGACCCGCTCGTCCTGGAGCCAGGACCCATCTATGCTGTCGACCCTGACTACACCATCAGTGACAGGATCATGTACAGGATTGTTGGGGGTGAGTAGACCTTGTCACCTTCCACAAGGAACATTGCTCATGTCTCCTGTGGTACCTGCCAAGAGAGAGGGCCTGGGATTTGCCCCTCTGTTTCTGCCACAAAAATATAACTGGAGCCACAGAATGCTGTTGATTAAGTAGAAGAAACAGACTGCACAGAGAGGAAGGAAAAAAAGAATTACAGTCCCACAAATCAATCCCAATGAAATCTGTTTCAAAAAGATTTTGGTTTTTTGTGAGATGAGACATGTTTTATGTTTAAGCTTTTAGCTGTGATTTTGTCAATCTGGTCATGCTACTTTCATTACGGTCTTTGAGCTGTACCTATAATTCCCACATTATCAGCCTAATTTCTATTAATTGCCCAGAATTATGTTTTTATTTCCCAGCACATTGTCACATTCTCATCTGCCCTGTTTTAGTCTTGATTCCAAAAGAATCAAGGCAAAGGTCATATTGGTCAAATGAAGTTCCTCTCCCTTTTACCTATTATGCCTTATGGCAGCACAGTTGTGAATGTCCTCCTGGTGCCAAATGTATTAAAGAACATTAAATTCCACTGGCACTTGGCTGGAGTGTGGCCTCCCTCCCCACAGTCAGTGACTCAGATCCCTGTCAACAAAGAGCCCACAGTGTCTCAGGGTGAGGAAGAGAACTAAAAATTCTGCTTATCTTACAACATGTATCCAGCATAGGTACTTTTATGATTCCCACACAGATGTAGGAATCTGCTTTCTACCTGTACATAAATCCAAGGTTTGTGTCTAGACTCCCTTTGTAACCAGTAGAGAGAAATAAGCATTCCCAGAGCAGACTGGGAACTGGATGGAGATTTTCAGTCCTCAAATTGCACCAGAGGCTCTGGGCATTTATCATACTTTAGACAGACAGTCTGTGGGCCTAGCTACTGGAAATGCAAAGTTTTGTTGTTCTGCCTCATTTAATTGGGTTCACACATATCTAATGTGTCCCTCTGCATGCCTGGCCATCAATCCCAGTCTTTGGAGCAGCCAGGCAGGCAAGGAAAACAGCATTTTAACTTGGGTAAATGGTATTTACCCAAGGAAAATTCCTTGAGGGTATTTTTACTAAGATGTGGAAGAATGAGTCTGTGAGCTCCAGGTCACTTTATGAAGGAATCTGATGGTTGAATTGTCTTTGCATTTTCTCTAGGGAATACAAATGAAGTGTTCTCAGTGGATGCAGACACAGGGAATCTAACCATGAACAAAATAGTGACTTCCCCAGATTCCTTTCTGTTGCAAGTTATGGTAAGTGATGACATTACAGCCACCCACCCAACACAGCTAGATTTCCAGGAAGCAGCAGCCTGGCTGTGTCAGGAGTCAGTGACCTCAAAAATAACTCAGTTACTCCCTTTCTTTTGAAGTGCCCAGTGTTTGACCTGTTGGTTGGTCCTACACCAACCCACAAGCAATTCTCCTGCAGCAGTTGAGAGTTTCCCCTCAGATGTGGGTGGTGACAGCAAGGGAAATTCACTCCGGGCACATTCTGCTGAGTTGATGAAGTCTTCAGACTGAGCCTGTCCTTTCGTGTCTCATCAGGGGCAGAAGTCTGGCATATCTCTCTCTCTCTCTCTCTCCAGGCCACCCAGGTCAGCAATGTAAGGAAATACTCTGTAGCCACTGTGGAGATCAAGGTCATCACTAAAAGCAACTTTCCACCCTACTTTGAGAAGGGGGTCTACAACGGGACAGTGTTTGTTGGGCTGCCCCAAAGAAGCTTCGTCTACCAAGCTGGAGATCCTTCCACCCCCCTGGTGATAACAGCAATGGATCAGGATTTCCCTGATGTAAGAAACTGCTCTGTGTTCTGTCTCACTGCTTCAGGCTTAAAGCAGGATCAGGAAACACGAGGGAGGGGAGGAGTGGAGAGGCAAACACATGTTGTCCTCTAGTGTTCCATGTTATATTCCCTTGGAAATTGCACAGATACCAGAACCACTTATGGTGTGATGTCATGGGAAGAAGCTGCTGGACTCCCCTCTTCCAAAGCCAGTCCCACACACATCACTTGCATAGGTGTGTTCTGCTCGGGCAAGTACTAAAATTGCCAACACAAATGGGATTAAGATTTGGGATATTTACTTTTTTTAATGTTTTTGTGATATGTTCTTGGCCTCTGAGCAACAGGGTGAATGCAGTTGAGTTCAGCCTTTCTCACCTGCTCAGCCCAGGTTTATTTGTTACTCTCCAGACCTGCTCATACCTCAGGTGTTTTGGACAGATCCTGCCTAGGGGTTGTTGGGAAGATGCATGTGAAGCACAGCTTGGTTTGATCACCCACTCTCTCTCTGGCCTTTCAGAAAGTCAACCCCAACATCGAGTACTATCTCAAAAACAGCACCGATTTCATCGCTACCAGGGATGGGCTCATCCTGACCAACAAGGTGCTGGAGTCCCCAGGAACTGTGACCATCCAGGTAGGGCACCTTTCTTGGGTATTTTGTCAGGAGTGTGGAAAGGAGGAATCCAAATCCTCTTTTTGCTTGGGTCAAAGAAGCAGTCAATAACTTTAGACTTGTAAGAAGCTGGATGTTCCCTTTGTCCACGTGGCTGCCTAAGGCTTGCCTGGCACTGTGCCATGTCCTGTGGGGCTGTCTGAACCAGCCTGGCCCCAGCATTGCTAGGTTTCACAGGCAGGCACAGAGAGGTGCCAGCGCCTGCTGCTCCTGCCCCACACTGCCTCAGAACCTGTGCTCTGCACTGTGCTGGAGCTGAACATAGAGCAGGGACATGCTTCAGCTCATCCACTCCCAGGGCAGGGAATCCTCAGAGCTCTTGTTCCCCTGTGACCAGGCTGTCCAGCCACAGTGAACAGCTGTGGTGACAACAGGGACAATGTACTTTTCCCTTAAAGGGCCCCCCACAGACCTTCAGAGTGAGCTGGAGATCTGGAAGTCCCTAAGCCATCTCTTTCCCATGTTCCCATAGGCTGTTGGAAAAGATGTGTTGAGCCTGCAGGAGGCAAGCACCATAATTGTGGTGGAGGTCATCCTTGCCACAGGTAGGCTGGGGGGTGTCTCTGTTTTTCACTCTAGGGGGTCTTTTCTATTTCTGTGGCAAATTGGCCACGGTGGGTCACCTGCTGAGGTCTGTGGGCCAGGGCTAGGCCAACCCCAACCCTACAGGAGGTTCTGCGGTGGCTTTAAGAGGGAAAACACCCCAACAACATTCTCACAGCATAGTCACCACATGCCTTGGAAAGCCTCCTGAGACTTTAGTGGTGCTGTGTATTGGAGTGTCTTTTCTTGTTGTTCTAAAGCTAAAACTGGGATTGGTTCATGCTGGGAAATAACCCAGGATGTCTTTTCATGGTACATCATTGCTCCTTTTTAACCACACAGAGAAAACTGCAATGTTCTTGCCTGTCTGAGGCAGAACAGAAGGCAGCTGGCACACCCCAAAGCCAGGCTTGCCCATGAGCCAAGGCTTTTCTACTCAGGTCAGGGTCTTTTATACCAGAATTTTATGGTCATGAGTAATAAGAGAGACATGAGGCTTCATAGATAACCCTCTGGCTACTGTTTAACCTTGTCAATGTGAAAACAGCTCACACTTCCATACTGCTGAGAAATGACTCTTACATTGGTCTTCTAAATAAATTAGGATTGAAGTTCATGAAACTTCTTATGGTCTGAGTTAAGCTGAACCAATTGCAATGAATTTTTTATCTCAGGATAGGCAGACAATGCCCAGACTCCACTGAATTCTTCACATTGATGTGTGAGTGAAGTTCTATCACTTCACCCTCTGATCACCACCATTGTGGGGTGGGAAAAACAAGTGGGTTCCTGGGTGTAAATTTGGATTCCCTAAAGGCAGTGCTGCGTCACAGCTAAAAACCACAGAGTCCCATTTAAGGGCACAGCCCAGCATAAAACTAGTCCATATGTGAGTTCACAGAGTTACAAATGCTCCAAGCATATACCAACACTTCAGAGCAACTTTGAAATTTTGCCCTTGCTGCTTAAGCCACACCAAGCAATGGTGCAGTTGAATATGCAGAATTGCACAGCTCTGAGACTCTCTGTGGGCTGCAGTTCCCCAGGAGACAGGACTAAGCAGCAAAAATTCCCTGAAGTCCTAAATCCTTGCTAAGGTGTTAATGATAAACTGAGGGCGGAATCACATGCAGAAGGAATACTCCAATTCCATTATAATAAACAGGTCAGCAGGAGAACAAAACCTTGTTTCATTAATCATTAATGAGAGTCCTTTACACTACAAAATGAAACTGGAAAATTTAAAGAATCCCACCACCAGCAAGCAAAGCTGAGAATGGTACTGTCTTTCCACTCTGGTGTCAGTCTCTGTACAAACACCTGACACTGACCAGTGGCTGGAAGCAGAAGCTGCTCCTGAGCAGACTGGGCAATATTGCCACAGCTACAAAAGGGCAAGAAAGGTTTTATTGTCCTGGGGACTTTCTAATGCTTTTGCTGTTTTTTGTTTCTTATTTTGATGTGCTCATCTGTATTGGAGAGGATGTTCCAGATGAAAGGAGGCTTTGCATTTTCACACACAGACATACATTTTTGCATTCTGGTGTAAAAGGGTGAATGGGAAAGTCAAAGAACTAAATAACTGCTCCATGTAGCATCAGCTTGCCTGATGCAGTCAGGTATTTATTAACTTAGTTAAATCACAGGGTAAAAGTCACTGTCTTGTAAATGGCTGCTATTTCCACTTCATGGAATTTATTGGAAATGACAATATTCTGTGTAATTAAGAAAGAAGCCCCCTGCTGTTAGGACAGCAAAAAAAGATTTTCTGTGGTATCAGATATATGATTGTCACATTCTGAAGCACAGGATGCTTCCTTGCCTTTCAAAAATTGACTGGAGCTTCTCCCACAGTGAAGGGTTTTGTTGGAAAATGCTGCCTGCCAGTTTTAGGCTTTGTAACACTGCTTTGTTTTCCTCACAGCTGTAACCCCCTCTGACAAGATGTACTCTGCTCAGGACATGGCCATCTTAGGGGGCACATTAGCAGCCCTGCTGTTAATTGCCTTGGTCTTCCTTGGAGTGCTGATATGGAAATCCAGTAGATGGCACAGAAAACCTTTCAAATACCTGGTGAAGGAAAAGGTAAGTGCCTTGTTTGTACCTGAACTTCTAAGAGTTAGGAAGTGGGATCTGAGGAAGCTTTGAAGTATGGATGGGCTGCCCAAGTACCACACATTTGTGTGAAGGTGGTGAATCACTCCCAAGACAGTCTGCAGAGGTAGCACCACTTTGGTGGTGTTTGCTGCTGTTCCTTCTGCCCCTGAGGCAGGAGCTGTGTGGTGGATGATGAGCAGACATGGTAAGGAGAGCACCACAGCTCCATGGAGCACAAAATCTAGGGTAAAAGTGGCACACATCAGGGGTCTCTGAAAAACCTCTGTCTGAGGTATAAACCACAGTTCATCCTCCACAGTCAAAGGAGAGGAGAGTCCCTTCATATCTGATCTCAAAGCCTGAGCTCAGACACTTGTCCGCCCCTGAGCTATTTAATTTTGGACCTCTCAGGTCTCTGGCACGTTAGTCACTGCAAGTTTAGAGTGTAGTTTGTCTGACCAGCTGTTGGTCTGTGCCAGAGGCTGGGCCTGCCAGGAGCCTAGGCCTGAGTGCAGAACACATAGCTCAGGTGGGTAACAAAAGTCCTTCACCCTGAGTGAGGGAAATCCCACTGCAGAATGGGCTGGGTACAAACCACCACGTGTGCAGTGCTGGTGCTCAGCCCTCCTGGAGAGCTTATCTGAGAAAACTCCAGAAATGGAGCCAATAAAAAATGTCTCTTCCAGGGATCTGCAGCTTTTCCTGGCTTCAAATAGGTCTAACTACAAACCAAGATGAACTCTCTTGAGCAGGAGCTCAGTCACTGCAATCACCCCTTCCCTCCTGCCTCCCATTTCTTTTCCTGTTCCTACAGTCACAATTTGTCTCTCCTCCTGTAGCCTTCCAAGGACATCCCTGAGGGTCACCAGAACAACTATTACCAGGAAGATGAACAGCCATATGTGAGCACTAAGCAGCGTGAGACATCAGAAAGCAGCAGTGTCCAGACAGAGAGTCCTGTGCCAGAGCTGCCAGCACTTGCCTCACACTTCTCCAGTGCAGAGGAAACAGAGAGTCTCCCAAAGGGCTCCATAGCTTCCACTGTCATCTTTGAAGAGGAAGAGGAAGAGGAAGAAAAAGAAGAAGAGGCTGGACAGGAGAAAGAAGTGAAGTCAATCCTCAAAACAGACAGGCATGTGGCAGATGATGGCTACAAAGCTGTGTGGTTTAAGACTGATGTGGACCCCGAGGCTGGAGAGAGGGTTGAAGTGATTGAGGACAATGCAGCAGATGATGATAATGATGATGATGACAGTGACCAAGGTGTGCAGAACAATGAGGAGGAAGAAGGTTCTGGCATAGATGGTCACCACCAAGGGCTGGGAGTGTCCTTTTCCTCAGAGAACTCGTCACTCCCAGCAGCAGAGGTGACAGTCAGCATGTCTCACACAGGTGCAGGGACAGATGACACTGAGATGTAAAGGAAATAGGGTACACACTCCCCAAAAATGGGACAATTTCAGCTCCTTCGCTGATGTGAAGCCCATCTTTCTGCTCAGGGGGAAAACTGGAATGCAGAGGGGTGAGGTTATCTGTCCTGCTTGTCTGAATGCAGCAATTAAGGCCAGAAGAGATTACAGCTAATTTAACCCTTTAGTGAGAGCTTGGAATATCACTTAGGATTTTCAGGGGAAGCAATTCATCTTTCCACCTTCCTGCCTGTTCCCCCTGGGTCCCTTGGCACAGCCTCCCCTAAACTGGCTGCGGGTTCAGCAGAGCTGAGCTGACCTGGCTTGGCAGCAGGCAGCCCAGCTCACAGGAGCAGTCAAGTTGCACAGTCCAGTGTTGTTTGGCTCTTCTCTTTAGGGTGGTGCAGCAGGGTGTCAGCAAGTCCCTCCAAGCCTGCAGGTGCTCCTGTGACTATGCAGGAGCTGACTTCAGGGCTTGGCTCTGCTCTGTTCTCCCAGCACAAACATCTGGAATGTGCCATCAGGCCCTTGTCCTGCCAGCAGGAGGTTCCACACCCAGGACCTGCTGTTTCCTTTGTCACTGGTAAACATGGACTGATCACATGAAGGACTTTGTCATCAATTTTCTATGTCATAAACCCACTAATTGTGCAGTACTTTAGCTATCTGTTATCTGTCAGCCAAAGAGCTCCTGAGATATTGTCTTCAAGTGCCAAGTCAGCACTCTGCTTCCAGTTATCAGAGGGAAGGAAATATTTGATGCTCTTGTCTAGGTTTGCATCTCCCATCAAACAATCTCTTCCCCAGCTGGCAGCCAAAAGCTGGGCTGGTTTCCACCAGCTGAGAGCATGGCTGTGTGCATTTGCATCTTCTGATCATCAGCACAAGATTTATGCTGCTCCTGGAGAAAGAAACCAAAGTGATTGCTGGGATCTGCAGGAACATCAGAGCACATGTGATTCCCAGGGAGGCTTTTATCCTCTTGGGCCATACATGTCCCTGTCCCAGTGTTTCCATGCTCACTCCTGCTCTCCTCTCTCTGAGGAATGCTGCCCTGGCCTCCTGGACACTGTGTTTGTGCTGCAGATCAAGCCCAGGACCTGGGAAGCCTCCCTACTTCCTGCAGCAAAGCTGTTTGCCCAGGAATTGCTGTGTGGTAATTGAGGGTGGGGAGTGCAGCCAGTGTTTGCCATATGAAGAATCCCTCCAGCAGTTTTGGGATATCTCTAGGAAGCATTTTCCACAGGATTATGAGAATTCTCTGGCAGCTGCTCACTGCTAACCCAACACCTCTGGCCACCAGCAAGGCTGAGGAGAATCCTGCCCCCTGTGGGAGGGTTGCTGATGTGGGGAGAAGCTGGAGTGCTTCCCCCCTGCTCCGTTTCCTTGGTGGCTGTGCTGTGTGTGGTCCATTCCTGTCAGTGCTCTGCTTCTGTCTGCATTCCCTCTGCTGCTGGGTACTCTGGATTTCTGCTGCCACACTGATGTATGAGCTCCCTACAGCTGCAATCTGTGTTCAGTTCTTGGTGCTTTCCTTCCCCTCACCAGAGTGCTTCCCATGCTCTTGGAATGGGACTGGTCCCATCAAAACAGTCTTTGTTTTCTCCCAGGGCTCATCCGTGCATACAGCCACAGGTTTTAGTGTTTTTCAGGGTTATGGGTGCTTAATTTCAAAGGAGATGATGTTTGGTAAATATTGTGTCTGTGGAAGTGGTGGTTGTTGTGAGGAGAAGAACACAATAATAAAACTTGGCAGCAGGCAGAGCTCAGCTGCTTCCAGCCATTGCCTGTCAAAGCCTCCAGATCCTGTGTTCTTGACTCCTGTCTTTTTGGAAAGAAATTAAGAAAACTGTGTAAGGAACAAGAACAAAATTTAACCTTTTAAGTTCAAGTCCATGAGAGCTTGAACTCCATCTGTATGGGTTGGTTTGTCTGCTGAGGCTGGGAAGGGTGACAGAGTTTTTGCATCCTTGTACAGCAATCATGTTCATTTATTAACATCTGCATAAGAAAGAAAAATGTACAGATAGAAATGTTTTTAGAAAATTGGATCAGCTTAAGTGGTTTTTGATGGCAAATAAATATCTACATACCTTGAAGATCTCATCCTTGCACTCCAAAGATATTAAAGTGCTTTTGCAAGTTTAACTCTACAGGTAGATATAAGAAATCTCTTTCACCCCATCCCCAGTCAAGCTCTGTTTTTATTTCTGTACCAGCTTAGAATTATACTTTTTTAATACTTGTGATGAAGAGCTATAAAAAACTGGTCAGCAAATCTGCGTGGGGAGAAAGAGCAGTTTCAGTGTGGCTGTTGTAAAAGTGGATTTGAGGTTTTACTGCTGGGAGTGGCACAGATGCCAAGGGAGAGGATGCTCACAATTGCCAGCTTTGAGCACCCTCTCCTGATGTAACACAGACCTGGCATGTGCCTGTTTCACCTTCATTTTAGCCTCTGGAAGGAAAATAAGCCTCTCAGCTGCCAGGGGAAACTCTAAAACCAAATTGAAATCAGCAGGTGCAAGCAGGGAATTGGAAAAATCGAGTAGATACGGGCATTTTACCTGCAGGAAGTAACAGAAACAGACTGAAAAATTCCTAGGTGTCTGAAAATTAATTTCTGCTCAAATCCTTATGGATTTCATCGAGTGTCATTGCATAACTGACAGCAAACGTATAATTTTGCTTTTTTTTGCTTCTGAGAGAAAAATACTTCTGGCACATGGCTTGCCAGTGTAGGGAGGACACTTGGTTTAATTTTGATGGGAAGGAAGAGAACTGGAGACCCTTCTCTTTGTATGTAGGATAGCAGAATGATCTAGCATCTATAAACTTCCAAATGACAAACAGTCAGAGATAAAAGACCTGTTTTAACTTGATTCCCCTTAAATATTAAGCAGCCTTAGCTCCAAAAGGGGTTCCTTTTCCTTCAAAAAAGAAAGTAAATTAGATTTTATTCCAGTTTGTGTGATATATTTTTTCATGAGTTGGTTGCTGAGTCCTCATGGAAATAAAGCTGACATAAGCAGTAAATGGAATTTTAAAGAAACAGGATCAACTCCATCAAACAAGTTTTAAGCAAATTATGGCCTTTCCTTTTTATAAATACATATTTTATCCAATTAACAATATCAGCAGTTCGCCATCAAATTCCAAGGAACAAATTTTGAGCTATAACAACAACTGAGGCTGCAGAAAGGACCCAGTAGCAGTACTGGGGCAGAAATTGTATTCCTTTTTGCACAGAGAGGTTGCTGTAATGAAGGACAGAGATGGGAGTGCCGGGTTTCCCCTTGGTTTGTGTACGTTGAGATAAACACTTGTATGATAAGCCTTAATGGAATAGCTGAAAGATGTAAGACACCACATTATACTTGTGTTCTGCTTGGATTTATACATCTTTATGAAGGAATTATGGGGTTTATAGTACAATAAGTGTCTTAACTGTTCAGGTGCAAAAGTAACAGATTTCATAGGGAGATACAAGGCCATGTATCCATCCCTTCTAGATCCCGCATGAGTTTCTTGCCCATGTGATGGAGAAACAACCACCCATCAACACCACGGTCCGGGGGCTCAGGGGCGGTCCCGGGCGGACCCGGCTCAGGTGCGGGGTCCCAGCGGCGCTGCGCGGGGCGGGGCCGAGGTGATTTAATCCCTGGAAATCGCCTCCAGCGCCAATTGCCCACCCGGAGGGCAGGGGGCTGCGGCCGGGCTGGGCTCTCCCGGCGGGGAGAGGGTGAGCCCCCCCCTACCCCCACCCCACCCTCCCCGTACCCCGCTGCTTTTCGCTCCTCTTTCTCCTTCCCTTATCCTCCTCCTTCGTTTCCCCCTTATCTCTGCTTTCCTACCCCTCCAGTTCCTTTCTCCCTCCCACCCTGCCCTGCCTCTCCCCCTTCGCCAGCCCTCTGCACATCCCCGACCCCCTGCCACCCCTCTCCCTACCCCACTCTCCAACCCGACTCCCCTCTCTTGCCCCTCTACCCCTCTTCTGTCCATCAGCCCGCTCCCTCACCCATCCCTATCCCCTCGTCCCCCCATCCTCCGTCCCTCTCCCTCCTTCCCCGTAGCCGGGGCTCGGTGCACCGGAGAATAAAGCCCAGAGAGCCGGAGCCGGCGCCCCCCGCTGTCCCTGGAGCCCCGCACGGGGCCGGACCCACTCATACCATGGGCTCGTGGGGGACTTGGAATAGACAACGAAAACTCTCTGGACTCTGTTGTCCCATCTCACGGCAAAGAACACGGCCAAAACTGCCTCCTCAGCCTCATGGAATGGCAGTGGCTGTGTGGAGCTCTGGCAGGAGTGCCTGGAGACCAGGTAAGAATAGAAATGAGATTGTTTCGGCTGCTGCTGGATGTGGTTTTCTCTTTTCAAGGTATTTCTCTGATTGATGTTTTCACAGTTGTTTTCTAGGTGTCATGTGAGGGTAATTCCAAAAGTTTGGAAGTGGTTGGGAAACAGTGGGGCAAAAATATGAACTTGATTTATTTCTAGTAATTCCAAACTTCTCCCACACCACCATCCTGGGGGAAAGCTGGTTAAAGGGTAAAGATACAGAGGAACAAGTGTTGTGAACCCCCCTCGCTCTCTGACAGAGCAAACCTTCCAGTAATCCAGTACCTCTCTCTCAGAGACTCTGGGATCATAAGGTCTTCCAGGAAAGCAAAACAAGCACAGAGACGAGGGAATAGGCTGCTGGTTGTTAATGATTTGATGGGTGTAGGAATGATTCTTGCATGTTTCACACTCCTTTTTTAACTCCTGGAATATTTTTAAAGTAATTTCTTTAACAAACTAAATTTGAAAGGAAATGGTGCAAAGTAAATGCATAGAGAGATCATGGAGTCCTCAAATGGTTTGACTGGGAAGGGACCTTAAGGATCATTTCCTTCCATCCACAGCCCAGGGTGCTCCAAGCCCCATCCAGCCCAGCCTTGGACGCTTCCAGGGATGGAGCAGCCAGGATGTCTCTGGGTTTATGGGCACAGGAGGGAATGTCCAGCAGGAGCTGAGGCGTTTCCTTTGCTGTGCCAGCCCCAGCAGGGCTGTGAGAGGCAGAGGCTGTGGGAGCAGGAGCTTTGCCCCTGCCCCGGGGGAGTCTCTGCTGTGCCAGCCCCAGCAGAGCAAACGTTTGTGGTTTCACATCCCGATCCAAGGAGCTGCCGGGGCAGGAACGGGGATGGGCACGGAGCAGGGACGGTGCCGGGCACAGGGTGACATCCAGAGGGTGCCACCAGCCCGTCCCTGCTGCCCAGGCTGGGCTGAGCAGGCTGGTGACTGTCCCTGTGGTTGCTCTGCAGGGTGAGGAAGCCAAGGCTGGCGAGGAGGAGGATGAGGAGGTGTGGGAGGATGGAGACAGCGGCCACCAAAGGCTGGGGAAGGCCCAGCTCCAGGTAGGAGATGCTGCCTTCCAAGGAGAGGGACTTGTCTGTCCCACTGGAATTTGGGGTGTGAGGCCAATGGAACAAAGGGTTTGATTCCATTTTCTTACGTGGGCCAGGCTGTGTTTGAAACAGCCCAAGGCAGCAGAGAGCTGGAGTCATTTCCTAGCAGGGAACTTGACTTGGAAGCTGCATTCCAAACATTGTCCACATTTATTTTATCTCCCACATGGAGATGCCTAAGGAAGGTGGGGTGTTCCTAACAAAAGAACATCCCAATTCATCTGTGGTGGAGGGCTAAAAATTAAAGTGTGAGTGGAGGTGCCATTAGGACACTTCAATTCCTTAGTATATGAATGGAATTGAAATGAAATATCGAGATCCTGACAAGCTTGTGTGAACTGCAAAGCCTCTGCAAGTGTTTTACAGCCAGGGAGGGAGACAAGAGTCTGGAGTCTCTCCCCAAAAACTGGCTGCTGTTTGTTTGAGCAGGCATAGGAATTGATTGTGGATTCCCTGGGGCTGTCCTTATGGAGAAAGGTTTATTTATGTGCCCTGGGTTTATTCAGGGTCTCTTCACAATGATGGAAACTGATTTCATTGAAATGCCAGAGGTGCCCAATGCTTTCCCCAGGCAGAGCTCAGAGCCAGCCCTGTGGGAAGGGGTTTAATGCCCATTTTCCCCATCCCTCCAGGCAGCAGCACTGGAGCACTTGAGCCAGACATGGCCAAGGTGCCCAGTGCTGGCAGGAGGCAAATCCAGGGATTGGCCAGTGGGAGTTTGCACTGCTCCTGGAATGCCAGACCTGGAGCTGTGCTTCAGAGAGCCCAGGAGATGCTGCCTCACTCAAACCTTGGTTAAAGCTCAGCAGCCTCCCTGCTCCCTTGGCATTATTGCTGCTCCCTTTGCTGCTCTTCCTCATTATTATTATTAATTATTGATGTCATTGTTACTGTTGTTACTATTGTTACTGTTATTACTATTATTGCAAACTCCCACTCCATCTCTTCCACAGCCCTTTGCTGCTCTAGGAAAGCCCCTCCAGCCTGGGAAGGAGCTCCTGGCTCCAGACACGTTCCCAGTGCCCAGGAGCAGCGGGACCTGTGCTGTTCCCAGCAGGTGAGGCAGAGGTGCCTTTCCTTCCTTCCCTGCTGCACTTTGGCTTTTTGAGGGGTCTCTGGGGGTCTGAGGGAGAAGTTCTTTGTCACTCCAGGGCAGAATTAGCCCTGGTCCCACTGAAGGCAGGAGGAATTATTTTATCCCTGGTTTTGGATACACATCTTGTGTTTTCTCTCTGCTGCTGACACCGTGTGGTGAAGCAGCAGCTCCCAAATTTTCAGTGCTGCTCCCTGGAAGTTTTCATTTGTAGAACCATGAATTCCCTGCTGGAATCCAGTCACAGCCCCCAGATCAATGTGCAGTTTAAGGTCTTACACCCTGACCAGGACAACTTCCTGTTTCTAGACATGGAAAATGGGGGAAAACTCAGACTGGAGTGGGGCCAGGATGCAGAATGGGGCAGTGAGGCAGCGTGCTCAGCCCAGGCTGGGGCTGGCACAGGGGCTGTTCCCTGCTGGATGACACCTGTGTGGAACAGATCCTTCTCTTCCTTTGTGCAAAGTCCAATGGCAAAGGATTCAGGAACTCACAAGTGGGGCCTGGAATGAAAATGGTTCTGTTAAAATTAGGCAAAGAATGTGATAAGAAAAAATGGGCATCCTTTTTATGTATTAAAATAGTAGGGAATAAAATGTTGACAAGGGGCACTTTTATTTGGTGTCACCTTTCATGTTTTATGGAGTGAGCAATCAGAAATTTTCAGAGTAGGAAAGCCAGGAGCCTTTGATTTCCAGAGTGGACCTAATTTCCATTTTCTCCTCTCTTTCAGGACAGGAAAAACCACTTAACTCATTCCATCTTTGCCCAGAGCTTTGGAGTTTGAGCAGCCAAACCCAACGGGCTCCAGCTGCACTGGAGGGTCCCTGGTCCTGCCGTGGTGTGGGGTGAGTCCCCAGCTGTCCCCAGAGTGTCACAAACCCAGAGGGATCTGCCCTGGTTTCAGGCTGTCCCTGCAGTTCCCGACCCTGAGACCCAGAGAGAGCCCTGTCCAGAGGGGCTCTGTCACCTTTGTCCCCGTGCCAGGAATGGTGGCAGCCCCGGGAGCAGCTGGGAGCTGGGGCAGTGTCTGGGGCTGATCCAGGGCAGGGCAGGGCTGACCCTGGGGGGGTTGGCCCCCCACGCTGAGCTCAGGCAGGGTCAGGGGCACAGATGCTGCATTTTGTGCACCCTGAGAGTTTCTGTCCCCCCGGGCATTTCCTGCCGGGCTGGGGCAGGCAGGGAGCAGAATTAACCCTGCAGCTGCCGTGGCCATTGCTGGCCTTGGTCTCTCTGCTGTGCCATCCCACCGTGGCCATTTGCTGCTGTCACTGCCACTGCCGCCCCCCGGGGCTGTGTCCTCCTGGCAGCCCTTCCCAGCCCCAGCAGGAGCTCCAGTGGTGCCTCTGGGCCTGTTGGGAGGGTTTGCTGGGAATGGGCCTCACCCCTGGGAGGATCCTTTTGTTCCAGAGCAGACTCCAGAGCTTTCGGGCTTCTCAGCTTCAGGGTTGGATTGGAAAAGTCCTGAAAGGAAGAATAACAATGAGGTTTGTGCAAGTGGTGCTCTCAGACCCCACCTGGCAGTCTGTGCTTTGTGTGGGAGGTTGTTGTGCACTGGCACTGCAGGGAATGAATGTCCCCTTCCCAGTTCAGCCCAGCAGATCCCAAAGGCTCTTACAGGAATATTTATCCTTTCCTTCCGTGGTGATAATTTAATCTGCACCTGCTGTGAGCCATCCCTTGAGTTCTCCTGGAGAAAACCTCACAGCAGAGGAGTTTGCAAAGAGCCCAGAGCTGTGTTTGGAGCAGAGAGAGCTGAGAGCTGCATCTGCCTGTGCTGCCCCAGCCTGGCAACATCCCCATGGAACAGCCTGGGCAGAGGGGATTGGATGGAGCCAAATCCCTTCATGCCAGAGCTTTTCTCCTGTGCAGATCAGGCATGGGCAGGCAGCGAACTTTGGAAATCAGCTGATTTCCCCAGAAAGCATCACTCCCTTAGCATGAGTGACAGGACCTGTGCCCACTGCTCAGGAGTCACCCAGCCAAAATCAAGGGCAAAGGTTGGCTTGGGTCTGAGAACTTGAAATATCTTTGAAAGAGAAGAGATCACCTTTTTCTTCTTTTCTTTCTTTCAGATGCTGGAATTGCCTCTGTGGATGTGCACTGAGCTCTCATGCAGGGAACTGCCAGGCCTTAATGGTGGTGAGTTCATGTTCTTCTCACTGGGAATTGGGAATAATTATTAATTAGTAATTGCAGAAATGTTTTCTGAAACCTTTCCCCTTTGCTGGTAGATCTTCTCTCTCTGGCTTTGAATTTACAGAATTCCCTGCTGTCCTTTGCCCTGCCCGAATTCCTTGCAGCTCCTAACAGGGAAAACCTGGGGTAACTCAGAGGGGACAGAGGTGACATTTTTAGCTGAAAACCTGGGACAGTTGAGAGGGGACACAAGAACTGTTTGTGTAGGAAAATGTGAGGATGTCAAGGGGAGCAAGGTGACATTTCTGAGGGAAAAGCTGAGGTGAAGTTTAGGGGAGAGAATGCAAATTTCAGAGTAGAAAAGAGCTAATCAATATTGTACAGAAAGGAAAATTTTGGGGGTAAAACTCGATGCAATCTGTAGGGGACAGAATGAATATATTGGAGTAAAAATGAGGTACTCAGTAGTAGACAAGGAAAATTTTGGAGGCAAAACTTGACAAAATATCAGGGGTAGAGAATGAACACACTGAGGGAAAAATGAGGTGATGAGTACTGAGCATGTAGGGACAATTTGGGGGCTAAATCTGAGATAATTTCTAGGGGAGAGCATGAACATACTGAGGTAACATGAGGGAATCAGTTGCAGGCAGATAGGGAAATTTTGAGGGGCAAAAATATTATTAAATAATCTCTAGGGCAGAGAAAGAACATTTTGAGGTAAAATGAGATCATCAATAATAGATGGAGAATTTGGGGGGGTAAATCTTGAGAGAAGCTACATAGTAGAAAATAAATATATTGAAGGAAAAATGAGGGAATCAGTAGTGGATGGGAATTTTAGGGGGTAAAACTTAAAATAATCTTAAGGTTGAGAATTACTATTTTCAGGTAAAAAAGACGTAGTAAGTTATGGACAGGTAAGGAAAATTTTGGAAGTAAAACTGGAGTAATCTCAAGGGAGAGAGTGAACACTGACATAAACTGAGGCAGTCACTGGGGGCAGGCAAGGAAATTTTGGGGGTAAAACTTGGGAAGATCTGTAGGGCAGAGAATGAACATCTTGAGGGAGAAATGATCAGTGGTCAACATTAGGTAGAATTTGGGGGGCAAACCCTGAGGTAATTATGTAGGAACAATAAGTGGTTTGGGGAAAAAATCTGACATAATTTGTAGGGGACAGAATAAACATTTTGGGGATAAGAGACATAACCCATGTGGTTTTGGTTTTAACATCTAGTTGGTTTATAGGGGGCAAAATGGATATTTTGTAATAAAATCTGAGTTAATCTGTAGAGGAATCAATGGATATTTTGAGGTGAAAAGGAGGTAATCAGTACTGGGCAGGGAGGGAAAACTGGGGGCTAAAATGTGAAATTATCTCTAGGAGAGAGCAGGAACATCCTGAGGTAAATTGAGGGAATTGTTGTGGACAGGTGGGTACATCTGGGGATAAAACTTGAGGGAATCTGCATGGTAGAAAATGAGCATTTTGAGGTAAAAATGAGGTACTCAGTGGTGGAGAGGTAGGGGAAATTTCAGGGGTAAAATCTGAGGTGATCTGTAGCAGAGAGGATGCACTGGATGGGGTAAACTGAGGTAATAATTTATGGACAGGTAGGGAAATTACTGGGGGGTAAAAACTGTAGGGTAAAGAATGAAAATGTTGAGGTGGAAATGAGGAAATAGGGAGTGCACAGGTAGAGAAGATTTTTAGGGTAAGTCTTGTGGTAATCTCCAGAGTAGAAAGAGAATGCTTTCTTGTAAAAATAAAAATTGGCTGCTGAAATTTCCCAGCCCAGGGCTTTGGCTGGCAGGGCACAGAGATTGTTCCCTATGTGGTGCCTAATTTGGGGTTCAGTATCAGCTTTGCTAGTTTAGAGGAATTATACCTATAGCCCCCCATTCCCTGCTGAATTTCTACTGGAATAACCTCCCAGTGCCTCCTGCAGCATGGATATCCATGGATATCCTCATGCAGCATGGATATTCCCACACAGAGCTGCCTATTGAACACCAGCTGTGCCAGGAGCCAGCAGAGGCTCCAGGGAAGCTCAGTGGGATCAGGACAAGGACAGGCTGATATTCCATAGCATTTGCTATTTATCACCCTTTGCTGTTTATTCATCCCCCAGCCCCACCCCTGTCCCCGGGGGCATTGACAGAGTTCCCTGGAATTCCATGGACTCCACCCCTGGGCTCGGGCTCCCGCTGATGTTTTACAGCAGCCCAGGGCAGGAGTGGCCTCTGGGAGTTCTTTTCCTTGAGGAGAGGGATGCACATCCCTGCCTTCAGGGCACCTGCAGCGTGACCCACCTGTGCAAGCTTCTCAGCAGTTCTGCAGTTCCAGCTGGCTCCCTGAAAACTCCCAACTTCATCCAAACAAAACTTCATCTAACTCTAACCTTTTGTTTTAGGGCACCTCCGAGGGCCTTGCTTGGGATGGAATTTCTGTGAGGGGAATTCCCTTGGCTTTCAGGCTGCTGCTGGAGGATGTCCCCAGGCTGGAAGGGAAGGGACTGGAGTGGCCGGGACACCCCTGGTGGCTGTGTGGGAGCTCCAGGAGGTGGCACCGGGAATTGCTGTCTGAGCTCTCTGCAAACCCGGCGTGCAGCACTCCCGGGCAATGGCAGCTGTTCCCTGGGCTGTTTTTGGGGTGTCAGGGGGCTCTGCCCGGGCTGCAGCAGCTCCGGGGCCCGTTCAGAGCAGCCCCTGGCCCAGGAGCCGCGGGCAGCCCTTGGTCCGTGCCCATCCCAGCGCTGCCCGGGCATCCCAGTGCCCGCCCCGGGCGTGCCTGGCACGCTGCCCGCACGGGCGGGACGCTGAGGCGCAGCTCCCGCCCTGCCCGCACCCAGGACAGGAGGGGCCGGTTCCCTCCCGGGGCTCGGCCTCCTCCCGCCCCGCGTTCCCGGCCGGCCGGGACACACGGAGGGAGCGCCGAGGGACGTTCCTGGCAGGCAGCGGGAGTGCCCGAGGGCTCCGGGCCTGAGAAGCAGCGCCGGGCTCAGCCCCGCCGTGATCTGGGGCTGTGAGCGCTCACCTGCAGGAAACGCCCCTCGGCAGGCGGGAGCAGCCCTGACACTGCAGGAGAGCTTCGGCCTGGGACCAAGGGAGCCCTCAGGAGTGGCCTTGCCCGTTTCTCCCTGGAAAGGAACACGGCATCAGCACCTTTACAGCCATCAGGGAAATGCTGGGAAGGGCAGGAAATCAGGATTACTTGGGAGAGTTTTGTGCTGTCACACAACAGTTCACCTGTGTTGTTCCATGATCAGGTGCTGGCTATGGAGCTGTGCCCTATGGACGCTCCAAGGGCTGGTGTGTAAAGCAGCACTGGCAAAGCAATTCCCCTGCTGGCATTTGGCATTCCTGTCTCAGGCAGGACATTGCCATTACCTGAGATTCGCTTGGTTGGAGCAGGGTGCTGAAAATGCCCAGATTGTGGATTCAATCTGCAGCTGAGCCCTTCACAGCCTGGTGCTCCTGGTGTGTCCCTTCCCACTCAGGATATCTGATGACCTGGAAATAAAGAATAAACAGTTTTCACTGGCTTTTTAAACCCAGAGGGTTTTTTGCTTTGGAGAGTGCGACCAATAGTGAAAGTGGGGGAAAGGAGGGAGAGCATCACCTCTCACCTGGCAAGTGTCAGGTGAGCAGCCCGAGCAGAACCGAGCCCGGGCAGGGCCCTGTCCCTCACCCGGCACAGTCAGAGCAAGATCGGCAGCGCCCTGCCTGGAGGGGCTCCTCCGGCCCGCGGCGATGCAGCCCCTCTCGTTCCGCGGGGACGCGGCGGGCAAGAGCCCCGGGGGTGCGGGCACCGGGTCCGGGTCCCGCTCTACGCACGGTGGCCTTGGGGGTACCGGGGCTGAGGGGGCTCCGCATCCCCGCGGGGGCCGGGCCGGGAGAGCCCCGGGGGCGCCGCGCTCGCAGCGCCGCTCCGGGCCCGCCAGGGGGCGCCCCGCGGGGCGGCGGCGCGGAGGGAGCGGCGGGGCCTGAGGGGTCCCGGAGCCGGCTCGGGCGGTCCCCGCGCCCCGCCCGATTCCAGCCGCGATCCAGCGCCTGCTCCGGGAATGCGCCGCCCTCCTGCCGGGCCCGGCACCGGCACAGCCCGGGCTCCCCACGGCAGCAGCGGGACCTGCCCGGAGCCGCAGCGAGAGCAGCCCCGCAGCTGCCGCGGTGCAAGCGGGAGCGACGGCACCGGGCTCGGTCCGTGCCTGTCCCGGAGCGGCTCTTCCCACCCACGGCGATCCCGGTCCCGCTCCCAGCCCCAATCCCGCCTCGGTTCTGCGGCCCCGCGACGGAGAAGCGGCTCAGCCCGGGACCCCCAGCAGACACCGGCAGGACCCGGACCCGAATCCCCAGGCCTGGGTCCCGTTCCCGGCCCCACCTCAGCGCCTCGAGCCCCACGGAGCACCGGGAGCAGCCTCCGGTCCGGGGCTCCGCACAGCGCTCCAGCGACGGCCCCGCCGCATCCCGGGATGAGCATCCCCCGCACAAAGCGGAGCGGGCGCGGATCCGCCGGGATTTACGGGCGCGGGCGGGGCGGGGCGGGGCCGGCTCAGGTGTGAGGGGCGGGGCCGGCTCAGGTGCGCGGGGCCCCAGCGCGGCTGCGCGGGGCGGGGCCGAGAGGATTTAAACCCCGGGAATCGCCGCTGGCGTCATTCGCCCCCTCGCCGCTCGGAGGAGAAGGTTGCGTCCGCGCGGGCTCCATATCTTTTTATTTGTTTCTTTTCTTTTACGCTTCTTTTTACTTCTTATTCTCAATACCTCCCCTCTCTCCCTCCCCTCCCCCACCCCCTACACCCTCCCCCCCCCACTCCCCCCCCCTCTCCCCCCTAGCCCTCCCCTCCCTCCCCCCCAAACCGCTCCCTCCCGGGCCGGTCCCCCCTACCCTTCCTATCCCCTGCACACCCCAACCCTGCCCTACCCCTCCTTCCTCCGCGCTTCCTTCCCTGCCCAGCCCGGCTCCCACCTGCCCCCTCATCCTCCTTCCCTTCCCCCCATTTCCTCCTTCCCCTCCTTCCTTCACCCATCCTCCTCCTCCACCTCCCCGGTTTCCTTCTTCACCTTGATCCCCCCCGCCTGTGCTCCATCCTCATCCTCCATCCTGCGCCCGTCCTGTCCCTGCCACCCCACTGCCCCCCTCCCTGCTCCCCTGCACACCCCGAGCCCCCACCTGCCCTCCATCCTTGACCCACCCCGACCACCCCCTCTGTCCCCCTGTTCCCGTCCTCTGTCCCCCTGTTCTCGTCCTCTGTCCCCTCTCCCTCTTTCCCCCGCAGCCGCGGGGCTCGGGGCGCCGCACAATAAAGCCCAGAGGGCCGGAGCGGCGCCCCCGCTGTCCCTGGAGCCCCCACACGGGGCCGGACCCGCTCGGCGGGACCCCCCATTGCAGTGCAGTGCACGGCCCGACAGCGCCGGGGTTCCGGCTGTCCCTACAGCACACTGGGGGGCACCAGGGGGGGGCTGTTGGGGGGGGGGGGCTGTTGGGGGGTGGGGGGGTGTTAGGCAGGGCACCCTCCTCAGGAGGGGGTCCCGGGGGGGAGGGGGTTTGGGGGGTAGGGTCCCCTCCGGAGGAGGGGCCCCGGGGGAGGGGGCGGGGCGGTGGGGGCACTCCCCCTTCAGGCCCCGCCCCCTCTCCTGGGACCCCTCCTCCAGACGGGGCTCGGCCCGGCCCCCTCCCCGGGACCCCCTCCTGCGGACCGGGGCCCGGGGGGAGAGAGGGGGGCGGGTGGGGTGGGGCTGAACGGGAGGGGCCGTTTGTCTGTCCGGTGATCTCTATGTGTGTTCACGCTGCAGAGTGGCGTGACCCCCTCTGCTTCCCCCCCACCCCACCCGCCCCCACTCCCTCCCCCCGGGCCCCGGTCCGCAGGAGGGGGTCCAGGGGAGGGGGCCGGGCCGAGCCCCGTCCGGAGGAGGGGGTCCCAGGGGAGGGGGCGGGGCCTGGAGGGGGGAGTGCCCCCTCCCAGGGACCCCCTCCTCCGGAGGGGGCCCTACCCCAATCCCCACCCCCCACCCCAACCTCCCTCCCCCCTCCCCCGCTGGACCCCCCCATCCCGTGGACCCCCAGTGTGCTGTAGGGACAGCCGGAACCCCGGCGCTGTCGGGCCGTGCACTGCACTGCAATGGGGGGTCCCGCCGAGCGGGTCCGGCCCCGTGTGGGGGCTCCAGGGACAGCGGGGGCGCCGCTCCGGCCCTCTGGGCTTTATTGTGCGGCGTCCCGAGCCCCGCGGCTGCGGGGGAAAGAGGGAGAGGGGACAGAGGACGGGAACAGGGGGACAGAGGACGGGAACAGGGAGACAGAGGAGGGGAATAGAGGGACAGAGGAGGGGAATAGGAGAAAAGAGGACGGGAATAGGGAGGGATGAGGTGGGGAACGGAGAGGGGCTGGGGAGAAGTGGGGGGAAGGGAAAGGCCGGGTCCGGGGACAGATGATGGACAGAGGAGCGGTACAGGGGGAAGGGAGGGGGGTCGGGCTGGGCAGAGAGTAGGGAGAGGTGTGAAAGGAACGGGGGGTCGGGGATGGGCAGGGGAACAGCGAGAGAGGGCAGGGGAGGCTGGGGAGCGGGGAGAGGGCAGGGGGGGCTGGGTGGGAGAGGGGGGATGGCGGGGGAAGGAGAAAGAAGCTGGAGAGGTAGAAAAGAGGAGATAAGGGGGAGGAAGAAGGAGGAGGATAAGGGGCAGGAAAAAGAGGGAGAAGAAAGAGAGGAATCGCCGCCGGGAGAGCCCAGCGCGGCCGCAGCCTCACCGAGCTCCGAGTGAGCAAATGGCGGCGACGGCGATTTCCGGGCATTAAATCACCTCGGCCCCGCCCCGCGCAGCCGCACTGGGGCCCCGCACACCTGAGCTGGGCTCGTCCCGCACACCTGAGCCGGGCCCGGCCCCGCCCGGGACCGCCCCTCAGCCCCGGGACCGCCCCTCAGCCCCGGGACCGCCCCTGAGCCCGGCACCGCCCCTGAGCCCCGGGGCTCCGCCCTGCCCGCGATGGCGGCGGTACCGTCGCTGCCGGCCCCTCCCCTCTCACCTGGGCCGGGCCGGGGCTGCGAGCGGCACCGGGACTGGGGCCTCGGCTCCGGGTCCCGCCGGTGTCTCTGGGGCTCCGGGCGGTGCCGCCTCTGCCCCGCCGGGCGGGCTGCGGGTCCCGGCCCCGCAGCACTGAGGGCGCTTGGGGCCGCCGCCGGCACCGGCAGGAGCCGCTCCGGGACGGGCGCTGGGGCCGGGCCCCGTTGGTCCCGGGATGCCGCGCTCAGCCCGACGCGCCGGGCCGGCCCCGCTCGCAGCCCCGAACCCCTCCCGGCCGCCCGCGCCGAGCCCCGAACGCGGCCCCGGGGCTCCGCCGCCAGCCCCGCCCGCGGCGCTCGGCCCCTGCCCCGGAGCTCCGCCGCGGCCGCGGCAGCCCGGCTTTGGGCCGTGCCCGGGGCTCGGAGCCCGGAGACACGGACTGGCCCTGGCCGAAAGAGCCGCCCGGAGCACCAAAACGCGGCCTTTGGCCTTTCGCTCGAGCCCCCGAAATGCAGCACTTCAATCTCTCTTGGTGAAGCCCAAACACTGAGTGACCCCGGTTTCAGGACCTC